GAACCTCCAACGCTCGACTGTCGCCCTGCCTTTCGAGTGACAGCCTGTCACTCGACTGTCGCTGAGCTTTCGCTCGAGCGACAGGGTTGTTCGAAAAATTTTTATTTTGCGATTTGAAGGCTTTTTCCTTGACCCATTACTTTTCTAACCCACCTATAAATACCAAAATACATATGAATGTGAAAAATAAGGTTGATCATTGAGAGAGCTTCATCAAAGAGAATTTCTACATATTCCTACTTTCAATCTTCATCTTGTGAGTTTGTTTTGGTGAGAAAAACATCATTTTCGTAATCCAAATACCAAACTGCTCTTTCCACCACATCTATCAGAGTTGCTCAAGATCGAGGGAAGTTGACTGAAGTTACAGTTGTTGAAGAACGCAGTGTTCTTCGTGGATCCACAGGAGATAAACGATTTTACAAAGCTAGGAGTTGCTGTAGGAGCACAGAATCCAAGAGAGCTATTATAATTGTAGTCAGGAGATCAGATAGTACTTGTCGTCATCTAGGCTGGTAGACTGTAAGTTACAAATTGTTTATAGTGGATTATTGATTGGCAAAGGCCTAGAGTTTTTACCCAATTGGGGTTTCTCCATGATCATACCGCGTGTTCTTACTGTTTTCGCTGTCGATTATATTACCTGCAGTATTTAAACATATGTTAAATTGACTTGTATGTTTAATCATCTAGAGATAATTAATTGGTAACATGTTACTAATTTAATATTTTTAATTCCGCATAATATACCTATTCACCCCCTTCTAGATATTGTTAGGGTCGAACTACGTAACTTTCAGTTTGAAATTTTGTAATCATGAATTCAATAATTTTTGTAAAGAAGATGGTATTTTAGGCATAAAACTGTTACCTATACTCTCAACAAAATGGTATAGCAGAAAGAATGAATATGACTCTATTGAACAAAGTTAGGTTCTTGCTTTTGAATTCTGGTTTGTCTAAATTATTTTGCGGTGAAGTTATTAAAACTGCTACATATCTTGTTATAGAAGTCCTACTAAAACTTTAGATTATGATGTTCCTGAATCTGTTTGGTTTGAAGGTTCTGTGAATTATTCTCATTTGAAAGTGTTTGGTTGGTTGTATATGCTAATCAAAATATTGGAAAATTGGAACCTGGATCACTAAAATGTGTTTTCTTGGGCTATGATGAACATGTTAAAGGCTACAGATTACATGCTAAATGTGAAAATGGGTATAGAGTCATTGTTAGAAAAGATGTTGTTTTCAATGAATTCACAATGTCATCTCTAGAAGGAAAATAAAATGTTTTGACTAATAAAGATGTTCAAATTGAGGTGAAGCCTCCTCAAATTGAACAACAGACTACTATACCTGTAGTAAATGAATCTGCTCTTGAACCTGAAATTGATAATGGTCAAGAAATTGACCAACCTAACCAATCTGATTTTACTTCTTCCTTCTAATGAGTTCCAACTCACAAGAGATAGAAAAAAAAGGCAGATCAGACCTTTTACTAGATTTGATAGTGATGATTTTGTTTCCTTTTTCACTTATCAAGAACTTTTTGAAAATGAACCAAACTCTTTTGATGATGCCATTTAGTGTAAAGAAAATAAAAATTGGATAACAGCTATGGAAGATGAAATGTCTTTACTTTTGAAAAACAAGACTTGAGAACTTGTTAAAAGACCTAAAAGGCAGAAATTGATTGACTGTAAGTGGATCTACAAAATAAAACAAGGAGAATGAGATGGTAAAAATATTAGATATAAAGCTAGACTAGTTGCTAAAGGCTTTACTAAAAAAAAGGGATTGATTAAACTGAAACTTTTTCTCCTATTGTGAAATATACCACTATTATATATTTGCTTGCTCTTGTTGCTAAATTTAAATGGGAACTTGATCAATTGGACGTTAAAACTTCTTTCTTGTATGGTGATTTAGATGAAATTATTTACATGAAACAATCTACTGGTTTTGAAATTGAAGATCCTGAAAATACTGTTTGTCTATTAAAAAGATCCTTATATGGTTTAAAACAAGCTCCCAGACAATGGTATAAGAGATTTGATACATTTGTTTTGAAACTTTGTTTTAAAAGAAGCCTGTATGATACATGTTTGTACTGTAAAGGTGATGGAGGTATAAATTATCTATATCTAGTTCTCTATGTTCATGATATGTTGCTTGCCATTTGTGATAAATTTGAAATTTATGATATTAAACTGAAGCTGAAGTTTGAATTTGAAATGAAAGATCTTGGTTCTGCTAAACAGATATTAGGCATGTAGATTTGGAGAAATAAAGAGAAATACTTGTTATTTTTGAATCTACATGATTATGTGATTAGAATTTTGGAAAAAAAAATTAACATGCAAGACTTTAAACCCGTGACATTGCCTCTTGCTAATCATTTTAAGCTATCATCTAATTTTTGTCCTAAGTCTAATGAAGAATATGTTAAAATGTCTAAAGTCCCTTGTGCAAATGTCATTGGTTCTGCTATGTACTTGATAATATGTACTAGACCTGATCTTGCATTTATTATTAGCACTTTGAGCAGCTTTATGAGACACTGGGGAAGAACATTGGAATGCCTTAAAATAGTTATTTAGATATCTTAAAGGCACACCTAATTTAGGTTTAACATTTAAATCAAGTAAAAATGGTGTTACTTTGAAGGGTTAGTTATACTGATTCCGATTTTGCTGGAGATAAAGATAATAGTAGATCAATTTCATCCTACTTTTATACCTTATGTGGTATAGCTATTAGCTGGAAATCACAACTTCAAAAAGTTGTTGCTTTATCTTCAACAGAAGCAGAATATATTGTTGCTACTGATGCGACAAAAGAGGAAATGTGGTTGAATGGCTTACTGTCTGAACTTGGTTTTGTTGATAATCATGTTATGTTGCTATCCGATAATCAAAGTGCAATCCATTTGAGCAAAAATCCTATGTTTCAT